TTAACTGAGATACCTTCTTTTGTTGTGGCTCTTTGAGAAAACAGGATGTAAGATGTTTATTTCGGCCTGTGGGCATACGTAATGCCTAATGCTAACGATAAGAGCTTATTTTGGATTAGTTCAAATACCCAACAGTTGAATGTTTTATTCTACTTATCTTGTTCATATCATCCTCATCCTTGAAACAGAGAAAAATACTAAAAAAATAAGCACTGGTAACATGCCACAAATATGTTAACAAATGATCGGTGGACACTATAAAAAATGATATACAAGAATAGGGAAAACTAAAGAAAAAAAGTGAAGTTTTGAAAGCGAAAACAGCGACGATGAAGAGAAAAAGATAAATGAATAGTATGACAGAAGAGCGTAAGGTACTACTGCTAAGTTCATTGAAGAAGAATATTAATGTACTTTGGCAACGGACCCAAACCCTAGTCTTAGACTTGGGTACCCAAACCGAAACCCAAGTCCGAGACTTGGATACCTAATACCCAAACCCAATACACTCAAGTCGCTTGGGTTGGATTTGTAACACACCTAATTATAAGTGTATATACACTCATCGAATGAATATGATTCATCAAGATAATATCAATGCTTTGTACACGAATTTGACATAGACCTCGCAAATCATTACTCAATTATACAGTCGAACGAGATGGCAACACCAACATGTTTTGGAATTATGGTGAATTGTTGTTGGTGTCCACCACTTTCGACATCCGCTCCCCCATCGCCAGTAGTCACGTATTGCATCACAGATGGAAGATGTACCGCGGTAACGGTAAACGGATTTACCGGTTACCGCACATCCCTAATAACGACAGAACAATGAGGTATAAAGAATGTATAATGGATGAAATGGGAAAAGAAACAGAGAAGACGTCAGATATGAAGAGACCTTTAGTTCTATATAAACAGCTTTTTCCGCATTCATTATTACATTCAACTTATTTTCACTTCTCTTTTATAATACTGTTATTTCAAGTTGTTAACTAGTAGTCTATCCAATCATTATGTCATATTCAGATCTATTAGATGTTCCAAGAGACGACGGTGGGACAGAACTGGACTGTTACACCAGGAAACAATGGTTCGATCGTAGCTTCTGTTGCATTACCAGACCATTGTATAGCTGGTTCGACTGATGCTACTGAAGCTCACGATTTGACTGTTGTTTCTAATGCATTGGTATCCGGAAGTGCGCTATCTGCTTCTGTTAGCGTGTCTACTATTTTTATATTTGATAATCAAGAAAAATTATTTTATGATGAAATTGATAAGCATTTCAATACCTTAAATGAAAAATTTCGACAAAAAGCTGTTATTAAAAAAGACATATTTGATAGTATTCTTAAAGTTTTACGTGCAGAGAAAGGTAAGAGTGTGGAAGGCGTGAATGGTTCATTTGTGTATTGGAGTCGAAAGAATTTCATATTACGGGAGATATCAGGTGTTGAAATAGTATGTTGTGTAAAATTCAAACAACCGGTTTGTAAGTATGAATCGTTTTATAATATTGTCAATGAAAGTCATGAGAAAATTTCTCACGGAGGTCGGGACAAAACGTTAGCAGAAATTTTAGCCCATTATTCGTGGATACCCAAAATTGTTGTAGAGATCTATCTGAAGTATTGCATATCATGCCAGAATCAAAAACCCGTAAAAACACCCGTTGTAAGTAAGCCGATACTATCTCTTGGTGTCCTAACTCGTCTTCAGATCGATATGCGTACTCGCCCTGATTGTATTTCTAGTGATGTTGTGTATCAATGGATATTGCGTTGCACAGATCATTACTCAAAATATCCATGGGCTTACCCGTTGGTTGATAAATCAGCGGGTGGTGCTGCCAAAAAATTGCTTGAATTATTTTTTACATTTGGTCCACAAAAACTATTACATTCGGATAATGGTGCCGCACATAAAGTAGAACAATACAAAGTAGGCGCTTGCGTAGGTATTAAAATTAGTGAAGTTGATCGGACAAACATTGATGTTAAACTGCTACCATGTTTAATTCTTTCCAAGGAAAAAAAAGATAATGATTTCATTTTTAGAATAGCATGCAAATTTGGTAAATTTGCGATCGCGTATACGGTTGAAAGCTTGATCGATTTGCGATAGGCATGCCCATCAGATTTAAAACTAAACGAAGTGAGTTCTCTTGATGAAATAACAGTAATCGAAGCCGCAAAATTATTGGTTCGCAGTGCTGTAATCGGTGCAATATGCGATTGTGAGACTAAATATGGGACGAAACATTGTCCATGTAGAAAAGTAGGGGTGGCATGCTCAACAAAATGTCATGTTAAACAGCGTCGATGTCTGAATTCAACTTAATTAAAATTTTGCTTGCTTCCTTTCTTACTTTTTATGACATGTCCAAAAAATCAGTTGAATTATATCAAAAAATAAATTATAAAAATTGAAATTTACAAAAATATGCATGTCTTCACTCCACAAAGTACCTCACAAAAAGTTTCTTTTATATTCATATTACTTCAGCAAATTATAAATGTGGAAAAATTAAAAAAAATAACAAAACCCAAAAAAACTTCAAATACCTTTCGGGGACTTCTAAAACGTTTCGTTATTGTGCCTGCGTATAGTATATTTCTTAAAATATATTTTTTCTAAACACACTTCTAATTTCGACGAGCCTAATCCCAAATCAATACAAGTTAACTTATAATTCTATATCTCATAATAGACAATTTCTAGCTAAAATTTATAGTTTTTACCTAGTGAAACCTAAAATTTTAATTTTGGCTTGAAAATGCTAATTTATTTAATTCTAAATTTGGCTGAACAATCTCAGCCAAACTTGAAATTTTAATTTTGGCTAGCCAAAATTAAAATCAAGAATCTAATTTGAATTTTGGCTGAGAATCGTCAGCCAAATTTAAAATTTGACTGAATTCTTATTCTGGTTTTTCAAAGGTATCCTAGAAAACCGGTCTTCTGAATGGCTTCGCAAGAGGACATAGGCTAAACTGTCTTTTTTCGATTGTTGAAAATTGCAAGTTTCTATTTTTTTGGTGTTATTCGTGACGTCAATAGTAAAAGGAAAGCAATCTAAACGCTGCCAAACGAATGGTCTTCACAGTATTTACTATTTAATACCCACACCGTTCTCATGATGGTCTTCGGAGTTTAACTAGCATTTCTCTCTCTGACTCTCGTTCGATTTAAGTAAAGTTTCCTTGAGTTTAGGAATTTACGTGAATTTGGATGAATTTGCGTGAATTTGGGTGAATTTACGTGAATTCCGGTGAATTTTTGAGTTTATTTGAATTTAGCAGCTAAATTCAACTGTTTCCCCGTTGCGAAAAAGTCGGAATTCTCCCTCTAATTCTCAATTTTCCCAATCAGGAGTCAACTTTTATGTAATAAAAATATCATATTCGAAATCAGGATCAAAAACTGAGGCGACCGATGTGTATTTCAAAAGTTTTAGTTAATGGTAAAAGTAGTATAGTAAAGTATATAGTTTAAATCTCGATGATTTTTATTTTTCAACGTGAAAATTCAAAAGAAATCAAGGTACTTGGATAGGGTGGAGTTCCGACCCAGTTTTTGATCGTGATTCCGAATATGATATTTTTATTCCATAGAAGTTGACTTCTGATTGGGAAAATGGAGAATTAGAGAGAGAATTTCGACTTTTTCGCCAGAGATGTAGAAAAAATGAATTTTTTTTTATTTTTAAGCAGTTGAATTTTTATTTAAAAAAAACACAGTAAATTGGGCTTTCTCCCATTACATGCTGTCAAAAAGTAAAATGAATTTTCTCAACGGCAAAACAATTTTTAAAAAGAGCAAGCATACTTTAAAGCTGAATTCAAGGCGAATTGAATGATAGTCAAATGAGGGCTTCAGTTATTCACACAAAAAACTAGATAGGTTTATAAAATGACACACATCTATCCCCGACGGTTAATTTTGGACGTCCATGCTGGGCAGACTCTTAATTTCGAAACTGATTAAATATCATTTTTTAATTCAGTTTTCTCGATTTTTCGACGTTAAAAATCGATTTTCAAAAGTCGAAACACATATTCGAAACAACACGCTTTTATGTATTCACATACATAACTTTCTTAGGAATTCATTCAAAAATAGAGTCGTATCAAATAAGGAATATCTATCCTATCCGATTACTCCACAGACGAAGAAACAGAACAAATACATCATTGACACCACCGATGTTCTTTCCAAATTATTAGAGGGTTGTTTAATAATGATGGACAAAGGTTAGATATTATTGATTTATTTTATCTTATCTTTAAAGCTTTTCTAAGCAAAATAAATGTAATCGATCGATTACATACCTACTGAACATACATTTGAAAGAGAACTCACGTCGGAAATTCCATAAATATATACAAAAATATAATGAAATTCGATTGATCTTTTTGTTACGTAGATATGCCATCAGTTGTTCAATGGACAAACTCATTAACCACGAACAGTTCGATCTATTCCGGAGATTGTGGCCAAGACAACTTTTACTATGACTCCTTCGAGGTGAAGGTGCCTGAAAGTCGCTACTATACTATATGGAGCAGTAGTAATATTCATACTTTCGGATACATCTACGAAAATAGTTTCGATCCACTCAATCCATCTGCAAATTTGTCAAGAAAAGATGATGATGGCGGATTTAATAATCAATTTAAATTGGAAATTCTTCTTTATGTTAATACTACATACATATTGGTTGTCACAACATTTCATCCAATAACTCTTGGCGAAATCAACATCACTATATTGGGTTTAAAGGATGTCACTGTCAAGCGTCTCAGTGAGTACAGATATTTGTTTAGTTAACGATCCGTGCAACGTCGAAAAAGTGTTCGTAAATTGAGTTTTTACTTTTGAACTAAAAAATAGCATCGAAATCTTATTTTGAAAATGGAGAAAAATGAATTAGACTATTGTCATCGAATCTTATCTAATTAGAAATGAGAATTTCAAACATTATTCACAGATTCTCTTCGATACATTCTGAAAGAGAGATTTAGCTAACAATGAGTCAAGTGAATTACTCCTATCAATTGTTTTATTGTGTATAAATATAGTTATCTTCTCACCTGACGATTGATCAGTTGTTTTGTTTATTTTTGATTAATATCAGGGACGGCGGAACGTTCTAAAACTGGGTGAGGCTCAGTTAAAATTTATATATGGTTCAAAAATAACTTTTTACACGCATGACATAATATCAGCGATTTGCGAGTGATAATTAAGGAAATATAACCAATTTTCTGGTGTTTTTTTGCGAAATTTCGCTTGTTCTACCATAAATAGTACGTTTTTTTGCAAAAATGATAGCTTTTTTAGTGAAAAACACCTAAAAAGCAATAATTAAGATTATTAATTGATTAATTAATAAAACGTTAATTATTTAAATTAATAATTGTCCAAAAACTGACCCCCAATAGAAGGCCACCAAAAAAGTGGTGATCTGTATAAGGGCACGTCCCTTTATTCTGGAGAGGGGGGCGTGTGTGTAACAGTCACGGAGGCCCTGTTACATGAAAACTGCGGAAAATACATGGAAATCTTAATCCGTCTGTAAGGATCAATGAGCTTGTAACTATATGAATACTTGAAACAACTTATAATACAGTCCCGGATCTTTTTGTGTACGGGTTCCATGGAAATGAGAGTGTGGTTGTTGCTATACTCCGAATGGCTGTACTCCATGTATAGAAAACATCCATCACTCTCATCCTTCCTATATTTCAACTTTCGTACTTTAAGCGCACAAATTATTCAGAGAAAAGATTCGGATCGAAATTATTAACCGTTATTGTTTTCCGGTACGAAAACAATAATTGTTATAATTTAATTTCCATTATTGATAATTGTTTCTTTAGTTACAAAAAGTTAACTTGTAACCAACTTTTATTTTCGATCATTATGTACATTTTTTGTGGTCTAGTTCAGACCTAATTATTATTTAGTTTTCTTTCTTTAACTTTTTTAATTTGTCAAATTCTTCAGAAAAATAAAATATTAAAAATTCTAAATTCAAATTTGACTGAGCGAAGTTGTACAGCGTTTGAATACGTACAGCGCTTACAAATTGATGCCATGACCCGGGAAGATTTATAAATAATTAATCCGCTCTTCTCACTCTCAAGAAGTCTGATAAATGTTTGGTGATCAATATCTACGAACAACACACACAACACATATCAACATACAACATCACCTCACTTTCATCCATATCCGTTAATTGTTGCTTGTAATATTGTACAATATTAAAAAAAAAAAAAAGAACAATACGAATTTTACAGCAAGTATATAAATAATTCTGTTAAGACAAGACGTTCCTTCGCTGTTGCCCTCGTTGGAGAAGAAATCGTCCAGAATCTCAAAGTACGATGTCTGAGTCCGCAAAATCTAAAGCTGCTGCTAAGACTCTTGAAGCTGAAGAGGAAGTTCAAAAAGTATTAAATAGTTTTTCTCAACAACAACTGCTTCCTATCTGCAGTAAATCAGAGCAAAACCGCTGTGAAGCCTGGTCTAACTCAGATATATCCACATCCGCACCTGCGGCATTCACTGCTTCAACAGTTGCCACCGTCATTCCTGCTGCCGTAGCAT